CGTATGCATGAGTTCATGATTTATGCTTGTGGATGTGATAATGTTACCTGTGCTTGTATTTGTTTAATATAATGGAAATGTGCTGGAGGTGAGACTCTATGCTTAATTGTATATTTTGGTAATGTAAAGTACTCACCCTTACATTTATTTTTCAGGTAATTAAGACGATCAACATCGGGCTCAGTAAAGGGGTGGATGGAACTGCTATAGGACTTAAAATATTATTTTGAAAACTGGTGTATTTGGAATAAGTCTTGTAGCAACTGTTCGATATAATTTGTAAACCCTTTCTTTATTTGAAATGCTTAATGAACTTGGATTGAAAATGAAAATTTTATCATTTTAAAAATTTGCGAAATTCTCTATTTATTGAAATTAAATTAAGGTGTTACGTTGTTAATCCAAAATGTCAATGAAAGTGAGAATACTAATAAAGATGCTTTAGCGTCCAAGTTAGATCGTGAATTTGTAAAGTTACAATATATAGATAATGTGTGCACCTAATATCTTCATTGATGGTCCTGTAATAAGGCTCAAGTTTAGGTGAGTCATAATTAGGGTAATCAAGCACAAACATGAGACAATCTTACAAAATAAAAGTGCCTTTAATTAATAAATATCTTGGAATCCTCGTCATGTATTGTGTGAGCAAGTAGTAAGAATTTGTCAAATTTGAGCATAAAATTTATAATAGAATAAGATTTTTGCTAGATTAGGTCATAAATGGTCGTCGACTTAGTTTTGATGCATGCCTTTGGCCTTGATGGTGCAATAATGCATAATGGAGTGGGCCTTAGTCAAATGAACTAAAATAGGATCCCCTAACTTGGTATATGTGAAGCATTGAAATGGTTTGACACCTTATATTTACTTTGGATCCAAATACATATCTTTTGACGCTTTGTTGGTATTTTTTTTATCTGAAGTCTTTTCCCCAAAAGATTGCATTCCATCTAAAGCTTTAATCATATGAGCCTTTAAAGTTATAAGGATAGACAAAAAGATGTAAGGATTTAAACATCTTTCGAACTAATACCACAATGTGAGCTTTGATTGCTTATGGTAACATTATGTAGATGTATGCCATGTATAATGAGTAATCATCATATTTTTGTGCCTCATTATGGCATATGATGATGAGTTGTCTTATTATTAATTGTGGATTTAATTTTTAATTTAGTCATAATATTATTTTAGTTTCTTTATTTTAATTATTCACATTTAATTTTCATAGCATTTCAATTATTCAAACAAGTCATCCATACCAAAATTTCATTTAATAATTAATAGAAATATAACAAAGATGAGATATATCATTAAGTTGTATAGATTTTCAAAGAAAAATGTATATAAATTATGAAATATTAAATAAAAACAAAACAACTTTAATATATCTTATACATGTTATTTATTTAAATAATTTATACATTTTTTACTAAATGATACAAAATGATGTGTTTCATCCTTATTATAATTTTGTTAAATATTGAGTGAGATTTTGATGTAAAGGACTTAACTAAAATAATTGAAAAATTAAGGAAACTAAAGGCAAACAATTACAATTAGGATAATATAAAAATGCACATAAATTAAATTATAAGAACTAAAAATATAATTAAGCCATAATTCTTAGCAACAAGGTATTGAAGAAATGACTAATTCACTTTTTTCTTAATCCTTATATTTATAAAGTCTTTTTTCTTTCCTTCTTTTAAATTCAAAATTTTCTTGTTTTAAAATTTCCTTCTTTAAAGCATACTTGCTTCTTTGCACTAGTTTCTTAAACATATTCACACCAAAGAAACATTTAAGCTATAAATCTATAGAGTTTTTTTGTTACATAATAATAGACTATTTTTCCTTCTTTTAATTATTCTAAAGAAGTTAACTTTTTCTTCTTTTTAAAGATAAAAAAATTCTTTTGTACTATACAATATTCTTTTCTCGTATTGATATATATATATATATATATATATATATATATATATATGTTAATTTAGGGTGATTCTAACATCTTCCCATCTTTGGTAAAAAGTAAGATAAAAATAACTTTTGAAAAAACTACTAAATATTGTGGACCGTTCATTTTAATCGGATGGTTAAAATTGTATTACAAGAAATCGATTATTTAAGTTAGATATATAAAAGGATACATTAATAATTTCATATTCTTCTTTCTTCTCAATTTGTAACAATTATGAGTCGAAAGTTCATATTCTTCATGATTATTAATACATAATTTGTTGAACAATACTCAATACAGTTACCACAAAATATGCAGATTCTAAAATCAGTAATGCAATGGTTTCTTTCCTTCTTCTTCTTCTTTCATTCTTATCCTGTAAAGGATTTCCAAATGGCAGAACATTTACCCAGAAAAATATAACACTAAAAAATTTAGAAAATATTGAAATTTTAGAATCTTATTTATGTTCCTCCTTCATCGTCTTCCTCCTTTTCTTTCTCTCTTACTCTTATCTTATTAGCACTGTTAAAGATTCATAAATGACAAAATTTAACACAAAAGAATTTAAACTAATAAAACGACATGTTTCTTCCACTTTCTATGGGTATCAAATCCTTGTTATGTTTATTAACATATTGGAACACCAGAGAAGTAAACAATCAAAGCTTATAGGCACCTTCGTATATGACGTTAAAAATAATGATATTAAAAAATTTTTGCTACTTTTTACATTAGTTCTCTATGTAGAAGTAGCTACGCAAAAAAAAAAAAAAACTTTCTACATCTATTCTTTCCAGAAAATCAAAGTAGAAAGTTATGTTTTTTTTAAAAAAAATACGACATCAGTATTATAAGAGAATCAATATTATAATGACATTAAAAATTTTTTGCTACTTTTTACATCAGTTCTCTCAGTGATGTAAAAGTAGCTATGCAAAAAAAAAAAATTTCTACATTTGTTCTTTCCAAAGAACTAATGTAGAAAGTTGCTTTTTTTTTTTAAAATTACATCATCAGTTTTATAAGAGAATCGATGTTAAAGTAATTGCGTGAAAATTAATTTTCTACATCAGTTCTCTCCATATGTAGATAGTGTTGGGTGTTTATTTGAAAATTTTTGAATATGAAGTGGAACGACCTCGCTGGGTGAAAAGCATGAAACACACATTGCAGGAAGCAGTTATCTTATTTGTGAAGTTTTGATTTGTTCGATTAAATAATTAAAGGAGTGTTGACTTTGTCTCTGTTGAATGTTTTTTATTATGTTTTCTCAAATTTTGCTTTTTCTCCAACCACGTTTCATTTTCTTTTAGTCATGTCTCATTAGAATCCAGATTGATAGGGCAGTGCATGTAATTCAGAGAAAATTATGAAGGAAGTTACAGAGGAGAAATATCACCTTAGTTAATTTTATCCAACAAATTTCAAAGTTTAGATAAAAAAAATCTGAAAATGAAGGAGGTTGAGAAGAAATGAGAGAGATGAAAATGGAGGAGTTGTCGTAGAGATGAAGAGGAAAGAGATAAAGGAGAAGTAATAATTTACTTATTTACCCTTTATTAACATTTTATTACCCGATATAGTCATTTGTTCCTCTTAATTTTTAACTTTTTCACCAATCAATCTTAGTCATTTATTTTATATCTATAAATATCAATAGTTAAAAGTTAATTTTGTTTTACTTATTAAAAAGTATTGTATTTACTTTTTATAAATAATGGGAGAATGTTAGAATCACCCGTTAATTTGTGATAGTCATAATTTGTTTTGACTAATAAAAAATTGAAAAGGAAGATAAGAGTAATAGTTTAGTAGATATATTTACCAAAATTTTCTCATAGTCAACAGAGTTTCATAGCGGTCAAAATCTATAATTTGATGATGATACCTAAATTGTTAGGCACCTTGTGTTTAAAAACATATTTCTTGAACTTTAAATAAAGTTTGGCCTCTAACTCTTTATAAACCTTTACAAGTTTTACATCCTTTAAAATGTTGCACTAAGACCATATATGTAGTCGGCCAACTTCAAGTGGTAGCTTATATTATACGGAGGATAAATCAATGTTGAAGACCACATTTGCACATTTGCCATTATAGACAGAGGTTCATGATGGACTTTGAGTTGCGCTTATCAACCAAGTTCTCTGTATAATATTTAATCAGAATTTAAGTTATTAGAGTGATAATAGACTAAAAGTTTAACATAATATTTTATTTAAATGTATTTTAGAAAGATTAATTAAATAAGAGTGATGATAGAAAATAAAGAATAATAAAAGACACACACAGTATATATACTGAGTTTAATACGATGGACATCTCACATAGTTTTTCTTAAAGACAATAAGAGACAATCCTACTTAAACTTATTACAACTACTATAGTTTAAGTACTAATTAGAGACATGTATACTTATATTAACTCATTTGAGTTCATGAATGAATTGAGTTTAATAACGTTGATAGTTTATAGATGGGAGAAGTAAGACATGATATAAAATTAATTTCATTTTTTCTCATAAAGTTATTTTTTAATGTGTTTATTTATTTATAATAAAATATAAAAAATAATCAAAATTTTGAGTTATTTTAAAACTACTTTAATTAATTTCTAAATAGTTATAATTATAACTCTCTTGTAAAATATTTTTGTAATTGTATAACCGAAAAAAAATAGTTTAATTAAAATCTTTAAAAAATAAGTTACCTTTTAATAGATTTAAAAACATATTTTTAAAAATTTAAATTAATGGGTCAGAAATTTAATTAATTTAATTTGGTAAATATTAAATTAAATTAAACGTTTTTTTTGAAAAATTAAACTTAATGTTCAATAATTTAATTAATTTGTAAATATTAAATTATATTTTATTATTTAAAAATTATAACATGGTGTGATTTTACAATTCAAGTCCCATTTTAACTAAAATGTTTAACCCAACTCCAAAATGCCATATTTTGCATAAAGTTTTCCATCCTCAAAATTGGTGAGGATCTCTCTCCCCTTAGCTGTAGGACTACTTGTATTGTATATGCAAACCACAAACCGCTCGAATTGTAAAATAGCGTGGCATTTGAGTTTCTCTCTCTAGATCGTACTGTGGAGTGTTTCTTTCTCACTCCTCTCTGCAAGATCCGCACCTCAAACCCTTCCTAACCCCTACCGCAGAGGGAGCTGAGAAGAACACGCTCCTACCACCCTTCTTCCGATCCAGGTACACCCTTTCGCTTCTCTTTTTCTTCCCCCTTTTCACTTTCTTAATATTTCAACCATTTTCTTTTATTTTCTTTTGCAAATGGAACGTTAAAATTCTGCCACGAGAGTACCTTACTCTATTAGTTGTTGGATCAGTAGTGCAATCTTATTCCTTTTTTTTTTTTATATATATATTGTAATCATTTCGCAGACAATCTAAAAAATTTGAAATCACGCGGTATTGTTGTTATTTTGCATTGATTTTTTCGGTGAGTATTATAGATTTTTTTAATCTTTTATTGGAGAAATAATTTTATCAAATGAGTTGTTGCTTATTTTTTTCTTTTCTTTTCTTTTCTTTTTCATTTGAAGGTTGTCGTAAATTGTTTAAGTCGGCTTTGAGTCAGATTTGAGTTTATGTTCAAGTTAATCATTGTTTATTTTTCTTTAATGTTTGAACCTAAAGCATGGATGTTGAATATATTATGATAAGTTGTTGGTTTTAATTAGCAGTTGGATTAGCTTTTAGAAACAATTACCATGGCAACTTCAGAGCAGCAAGCCCCATCCGAAACTCCTGCAGCTAATATTGTATGTGTATCTACATTTTATTGTGTGCGTGCTCCCTGATAATCTTCACACAACTGACTGGTTTTGATTGAACATGCAACGTAGGTTGGTAATGCTTTTGTTGATCAATACTACCATATGTTGCATGAAAGCCCTGAGCTGGTACATAGGTTTTACCAAGATGTCAGTAAACTTGGTCGTCCTGAACAAAATGGTATAATGGGCATTACGACCACAATGTTTGTGAGTTCTCTATCAATCTCTCTTGGCCCCTATATATGCTGTGTAGGGTGTACCGAACCTGCCTTCTGTTTCTTGTGTGCATTTACATGTATATCTTATTCATATATGTAATACATTTTTATACAGTATTTCATTTTGTTTTTGATATTTGATTGATGTGTTGTTATCATGCTTGTAAGTGTAACTAGGGATGCTAAACAATCCAACATCATCCGTACCCAAGATAACCAAGCAGTAAAAGAAGCTTTTGAACCAAATCAGATTGGGTCATGGTTTATATGGGTGAAAAAAAAATCAGTTTTAAGGGGACAGTTGTGTTCGAGTGCAGTTCCTTAAATTTTTATCCATTGGAATCTGAACCCAACCAAAATATACATATCTGTGCATGTTACTATGGACACTGCCCAGTTGCCCACAGGCAGGGTTTAAAAATGCCTAGAAAATTCATTTTCAAATTTGAAATTAAAAAAGAAGGGACAAACATAGACTGACAGAGAGCAAAGGATAGAGATTTTACATGGCCCAAAATAAACATGGAAGTAGACAAATGAGAGTGGAAGGCAATTAGAACTCATTTGCATTGCATGCCAGTATACCCAATGCTTTCTTCTTTTATACTGTGTCAGTGAAGCATTTACTCTCTCTTCCTCCCTCTTCTTCAATCTTGACTCACTTCATTTAACGAGTTTCATTTTTCGGATGATTCAAAATAAATCACAAACACAAGCACATGCGCCTTTTCCACATGTTTTCCATTACTATTCTAAAACTTGGTATACGATGCAGTCCATGGCTCAAGTGAAGCCCAAACCCACCAACCTTTTCACCCCAAGGTAGTTAAAATCAGAATTTTACTTAAAATTGTAAAGGGGAGTAAAATCGTAAATCAAATTTTAAGATTTTACAAAAATCACATATACATGCATATAAATTCATATTATGCATATAAAATAGCATAAATAAATAAAAAATATTAAATTACTAAAAGCACTTAAATAAACTTGAAGAGCCAGCAGCAGTTCAGCAGGAAGAAAGGAAAGAATGAGGCATGAAGTTTAGGAGGTCAGGATGTAGGTTATGAATGAATTGCGCTGAGATTCAGATCTAAACCCAGAATTTCATGAAATCAGTGTGAAATCCTGATTTTACTGTTTATATCCCAATTTCACTCCGATTTCACCTGGGAACGATTTTTGCTGCAATCTGAATCGCTCTGCCTTCCAAAATCGTAACATCGTGTGATTTTACGATTCCACTCCTGATTTTAACTACCATGTTTTGCCCAACTCCAAAATTCCATCTTTTGCATCAAGTTTTCCATCCTCAAAATCAGTGAGGACCTCTCCCCTTCACTGCAGGACCACGTTTCCCCTACTCTCTGCACTCTTTAAGAGGTGAGAATTACAGTACTTGCACCGGGAAACACACTTCTGAAGCATCACATGATGTCACACATGCCAGTGGTGGAGTCGTTCACTGATGGCTGGTAGTTGAAGAAGGTGATTGACTTGAAAGGCACAGAGGTTTAACCTCTAGATGAACCTGCGGCCTACCGTGGCTGGAAACTGACTAAATTATCCTCTCACTCAGTTTTCTTCAGATTGGGTAATTTGAGCCTGAACGCAACCACTGAGCTGCTCTTAGTTTAACACACCTAGTCCTAGGTTCCTTGCAACTTTACTCCCCCAATGTCTTGCTTCAATTCCCTGTTTCCTTCAAACCTTTGACATCGCACTATGTGAATCTAAAGGACATGTTTGAAGATCAGACCAGGAACTGAACCAGCCGTGATTAATTGTTGATTCCTCTTCATTTCTTGTTTTTTCTCCATTTCCATGATCAGATTCTCTGAAGTCAATTGGTTAACTTTATTTCTAGTACTTATAAGCATAAAATATATGAGCAAGTTGTGCTAAAAAACAATGAGGTTAATACTGGTCTCTAAATTCTAATGGTTTTTAATTTTTATCAAGCAGGCTATTAATGAGAAGATACTTTCCTTGGGTTATGGTGAACTGAGTGCAGAGATCATATCTGTGGATGCACAAGAATCTTATGGCGGTGGAGTCCTTGTCTTGGTCACTGGGTTTATGATGGGAAAGGATGGCATTAAGAAGAAATTTACTCAGTGTTTCTTCCTTGCTCCTCAAGAGAAAGGCTACTTTGTTTTGAATGATGTTTTCAGATATGTTGATGAGAATGGAATTCAAGGTTCTGCTCATCATGATGTTGGATCTCCTGTCTCTCCTGACAATGGTAGTTGCATAAGTTGTGATTGAATTATTTTGTTTTTAGTTCTTGTTGACTTTCCTTTTAAGATGCTCATGTTCTCAACCTTTCAGTGGCAGATCCTTCTTTGCCAGAGAGACAAGTTTCGGAGCAAATATCTGTGACAGCTGAGGATGGTGATGCGGAGGAAGTCTACCATCCAGAAAATGGGCAGGCTTCAATCGAAGAGGAAGAAGCTCCTGTACCTGAGGTTCTTGATGAAATTCCTGATGATTCTCAGATGGTAGCTGGATTGGCATCTCAAATTGAAGAAGTTCCAAAGAAGTCTTATGCCTCTATTGTTAGTCTCCATTCTAAAATATACACTCTGGCTCTCTGGTTATTTCCAGCTCATGCTGAATTACAATTGGACATGCCTCTTTTATATTCCTTGTTTTTTATAATATGGAGCGAAATGCTGAAAATTGACTGGAATTATGCATTTATTTTTGTTTCATCTGGATGATTCACAATTTCTCCTGTTACGTTTTATTTTCCTTTCTAAGTAGTGGGTCTTTTTTAGGTGAAGGTCATGAAAGAGGGTTCCACACTATCTTCCACAGCAACAGCGGTTTCTGTGAAATCTGCCATTAAGACCCAAGAACAGCAGGGTAATGCTGCACCTCCACCATCCAGCATCTTAGAGACAAATGGTTCTAGTATTAATACTAATGAAATTGGAAACAATCAAGAAGCTGAAGGTGTGATGCCCTGTGTCAAACACTTAATTTAATGGAAAAATTTATTGTGTTTATTGCAGTGAGATGTATTAAGATGTTTAGTTGCTTTTGGACAGCTGAGGGCTATTCTATTTATGTGAAAGGTCTGGCATCAAATGCTACCCCTGCCCTTCTGGAAAATGAGTTCAAGACGTTTGGACCTATTAAGAGTGGTGGTATCCAAGTTAGGACCCAAAAGGTATTTTACTTGTCAATTCTTTGCTTTCTAATATTGGGTGCTAGCTAAGTTTCACTTATTGATGGGTTGAACAGGGGTTTTCCTTTGGCTTCGTGGAGTTTGAAGTGGCAAGTGCTGTGCAAAGCGCTCTTCAGGTATTTATCAGATGTGCAATATGGCTAAAATTTTTCTATTCCAAAATCACTATCATCAACTTCAAGTTCATCAAATGGATTATGAACCATGGAGTCATATTCAGTTCCTTTAATGTACTCATTTTGTAGTATGCATTTTTGTCATCATTCTCTTACTATGTTGATTGTCAACATGTTGTCAGGGTGGTTTGATTTGGGAAAATGTTTTCTGTTTTCACTTTTAATTTCAATGATTGCTATCTAGTTTTTTCTTTATCCGCTACTTTTAAAGATCTGTATAGAAAACTGTAAAACCAATAAAAAATTGTTCATTGTTTTTCATACAAAACTTTTTAAATAGAAAACAAAATGAAATAAGATGACATTTTCGTATTTAAAAATGAAAACAAGAAATGGAAGTGGAAAACATGTTCTCAAAGTGAAGAGGTCCGTTATGCTCTGTTGGTACTGCGGACAATGTTAATTATGGTGGATGGTTGCGAGGCAGTGTTGCAGCCAGAAGCATGGTGGCTGTAATGAAAATTATAATATCTTAAAAAAAAACAAACATAAAAAAACTGCTAAAGTGAATAAGAAAAATTACCACATATATGAAGCAATATAAATTAGACATGACACATCCTAGTTATTCAATGTGATAAGCCTTAGAAGTACATAAGGACTGTAGAAAGCAGAAACTGGATAGTATCTGCAAATTGACACAAAACAAGACAGTATTCATCATCAATATAATATTCATTCTCTTTATCATCCAGTGAGTCTTATCCCTCTTCTCTTTGATGTTCTGATTCATCAATTAGTTTCTTCTTCTTGTTCTTGAAGCTTGTTTTCAAATTCCTATTCCTTTTTCATCTTTAATAACTTTATCTTTTCCTTTTGGTGTTGAAGTTTCTCCTGAACCTTGGGAACTTCTGCTGTTGCTATGCCACTTGAGGGGATGCTTTTCTTTTTAGTGTTTGTTGACTAGTTCATGTTTTTGGCTCTCCAACCACAAACAGTATGAACAGCTGCTAGTTCAGAGTATCATCATCTTAAAAGCTAACTCATTCCCAGCATTGTTACTATCATTGTGCATCTCTCCCACTAAATAATTGTTACACTCATGTCGTTGAGATTTGTTCTTTTTTTCTCTGAACTAATCTTGATTGTGCAATTAAATTTCACATAAATGAAGTTGTGGAATCTTTTGTGTTCTCTTAGAATGAATCTACAATGTTACTATAATGAAATAAACGTATGATTTTTTGATAGCAAAGTACTAGGCTAGACCATCAAAATGAAAGAATAATGACCTGCTCAAGTTACACTCCATTTATGTTTATGGTCAAAATATTGTGCTTGACCGCCAGTGGTGAAAGAATCACTACAATGAGTTTAACTTATTTACATATAGATCCTTCAGTTTTGTGGAATTTTTTAATATTTTCTTATCTTAAACCAGATTAGATGGTTATAGAAATCTGTCTCAATTCCCAGTTTGTATCCTCAAATAGCCCAATCAGGTATCCCTTGGCAGCTTCTTGCTATGCAAGCACAGTTTGGCCTTGGAAATGCAAGTGAGACTGGAAGTCTGGAGCAATTTCACAAACCAACCTCTAGAAAAGGAGTTTCTTGAGCAGGAACAAAGTACTCTTTTGGTTTTTTCTAATCTCACCAAGAGCAACAATAGTGGTTTCGTCACACCACCTGTTGACATATGAGCAATTTTCTTTCTGTGGGCCATCTGGAAGGATTTTGTTCTCCTCAAAATCTCTTTGGTTGAATCTTGGGGGAAAAGACGTGGTTTAGTGACATTGACACTTTTTGCTTCAAAGTGATGAACTGGCATTGAAGTTTCGTCTTCTGCAATAGGGATTTCAACATGTAAGGAAGGGTTTGAATGTGTTAAGATGTTCCATATTGGTTAGAAATACTGTCAAAATACTCCTTATAAGGACTAAGATAGTCCTCCTTTTATGAGCTAGTTTTTGGGAATGAGGTAGGCCCAAGTTTTTTAACATGATATCAGAGTTTATTCAGTTTGAATATTGAACTATCTACAAATGTCCAGTCTTGTTGGGCCATCCCTGCATATGTTTAGTTTTGCAAATTTCATGCACCAGATGTCTAGTCTTGGGCATAAGAGAAGTGTGTTAAGATGTCCCACATTGGTTATGGATAGAGTTAGAAAATTTCTTATAAGGGTTAGAGTAGTTCTCTTCCTATGAGCTAGCTTTTGGGAGTGCGTTAGATTCAAGTTTCTTAAAAGAAGGTTGACTTGCTTTTTGTTGGAGGCAACTATGGCAGATTTGTGCTTTGGGATGGAGTTCTCCCAGTGGTGGAGTGATTCAAGGGTTTCTTTGGATTGGGATTTTATAGCTTGGAAGTTTGTACTTGACCAACTGGGATTTTTGTAGATTTTGTTTGAGATTGTTTCTAGTTCAAAATTGATTCTGTCAAAGAATTTGGAACTTCCAAAAGCTTTGAATTCTGTTAAGATGTCCTACATTGGTTAGGAATAGAGTCATACTGCTCTTTATAAGGGCTAGGACAATCCTTCTCATATGAGCTAACTTTTGGAAGTGAGTTAGGCCCAAGTTTCTTAATATGGTATTAGAGCCTATTTAGTTTGGATGTTGGGCTATTCACAAATGTCCAGTTTTGTTGGGCCACCCATGCAAATGTCCATTCCTGCAAATTTTCACGCACTAGATATCCAGTCCTGGACGTGAGAGTGTTGTGTTAAAATGTTCCACATTAATTAGGAATAGAGCCATAATATTCTTTATAAGGGTTAGGACAGTCCTCTTATGAGCTAGCTTTTGAGAGTGAGTTAAGCTCAAGTTTCTTAACAAATTTCATATATGAAATCAAACTCAAGCTTTGCACTCCAATGAGTCACATTCCCAACAACTTTCATTTTAATTAAGGGATTTGATTGCAATTTTCAAATAGTTAAATGAAAACAAGAATCATCCCTTGTTCAATATCAACCGTTCATTATAATAAAAATTACATCTGTGGTTGTCAAAATTGTACTTCTACGTTGGAGTATATATTCAACATGTTGCAGGCTCCTCAGCAAGTTGCACACCAATGTGACTCACAAATCTGCTTGGAGCAGACCAGATTATTGCACTAGAGCTTTGAATCCTTGGAACAGCGCACCAAAGTGCTCCAGGTTGAGCTCTACATGCAGTTCAGGTTGCACTGCCTGTTTCACCGAAAATGCCCAATTTTAATACTTTGTGAACGCTAACCTGTATGACCCAGTCAGAAATAAAGTTCTGACTCTTCCTCTATTCCTTTTCACATTCAACACTCTGAGCATCTTCTGCTCATTTTCATTGCTGGTTTAGGGCTTTTGAGTTGCTGGTACAAAAACGGCAAGTTTTTGGGTGTTTGCTACACCTTACCTACTGTGGGCTCTGTTTTGCTGTTGATAAAATGTCAATTTGCTTTATGCTTTAGTTTTATGCATTACTTTTGTTTAGTAAAAAAATCATGTTGAGACTTATGATGATTTTTGAGTTGTACTAAGACTTCATGTGTCTTTAATTTAAGTTTTATTAAATGTTTGTTATGATTTAAGGGTTATTTTTCTTCTTTATGCTATTTTTAATGCATGTATGTTGTTTAAATGTAATTTAATATTTCAGTTGACTCTTATGAGTTGGGTTACGATGCATCTCCTGTGATCGATCACTCCTCCTTTGTTTCAACCTTGAAACTTGATTTTGACAACCTTGATTATATCTATGTATATGTGGCAGTTGATTGCTCACATTCAGGATTTTATATATACGTAGGCATATTTGATTTTCTGGTAACATGTTCTGCAAGTTTTGTATATAAGTATGATATGATTAAATTTATTATGCTTTTGATGATCCTTTCTAGTCACTTTAACGTGAAACCTGGGGGAGCAGATATAGCAGAAAGCTTCTGGTCTGCTAAGTGCTGTTGTTGTGTTTGACTTTCTTTTTTTCATGTTTCAGGGCTGATGTTATAAATTTTATAATGTTCATTACTACTGGATTGTGCTGTCTAGAAGACTTTAGAATGTTGATTTTTCCTTATGTTACTTTATTTTTTTCCCATTCTGTTTCTGCTTTGGTTTTAAGGAACTCTTCTGAATGCACTCTCCTCATTTTTGTCTTGGTTAATTACTGTAGATATTTGTATTTTTAATTTTCATTTTAATTGATTTCTCAGGCCTCACCAATTTTGATCAATGGCCGCAATGTTGTTGTTGAGGAAAAGAGGTCAACTAATCGAGGCGAGTACTTTTTATTTTTGAATTGTGGTCCAATTCACATTTAGTTGACATTTTGCAGTTTCTGTATGATAACACTGAAATATATGGGCTTTTCATGTACTAAGGCTCATTTGCATTTGCATAAACTTATCTGTATTTACATGCAATGATTGGTAAAAAGATTGCTCATACATACTTTGGAAATCCATTTGATGGACATGCGATTGAACTGAAACATATTAAGTTCGATGAAATTTGTCTACCATGAGTTATGATTATAGGGTAACCTCTGAGGGCATTTACGGGATGATAAATTCAATTAACTGTGTTTCCAATTTGTGTTTTTTTTGGCTCAATGGCTAGCCAGCATATTTCTATAATATGTAGATAACTATTTGGCTGCTTGAGGAGGGTATACGGTTATTCAAATGTTTTTTCTTTTAGTTAATTTTCCAATTCTCAGTTTATAAAATCATGGCTGTCTTCTCTTTTGCACTAACTGTCCGCAGTGCACGCCCAGTATTTGGGTTATTGGGACTGAATACAAATTTCTTGGCACAAATTTCCCCATGTTTCTTCTGCATAGAGCTCAGATCCCTGCTAGAGAGAAAGCATGTGTTAGTAAACATTGTTTTGTGAATACCAACTTCCTCTTCTTCATTGTTCATGTCATGTGTGGCTAGCTGTATGAAATCCCTTTTTAAATTTTGTTCTGCATTCATAAAAAGAAATTGTTTGGGGTCCTGCTTGTCTTTTTTATTTTTTATATGAAAAGTGGGTCTCTACATGGCATTTTCTAATTATGCTGCATGGGAAAGTCATCTGTTTGCATTATCCATTCAGGTAATAGCCGAGGACGGTTTTCTTCTGGAAGGGCACCAGGTTACAGGGGTGAAGGAGCAAGAGGGCGTGGAAATTATGGAAATGGCAGAAGCTATGGCCGTGGTGACTTTAATGGCAGGGGGGAATATGGATATAGGAATGGAAATAGGGGAGGATTTTCAAGCCGTGGGGGTGATGGGTATCAGAGAAATGATCATACGGGAACCAGTGGTGGCTGCATGAATCGAGCAGGCGGGTCTGCTGTTAATTCAGCACCCAAAACAACAGCTGTTCATGTTCCTGCTTCTGCTTGAGGAGCTATGTCTCAAGGAGTCAGACTGATTGAAAGTTATTTCAGTTCGCAGTAGATCAAGCAATTGGAGAAGGAGCGAGCCTTTTTTTGGATGAGTTACTTTTAAGTTTCATAAGGTCCTTTTTTTTGTTTTCATTTTTTGTATTGGTGGTCTTGGTAAAGGTAGTTCTTCAATCTCTGTTCATTATAATGTCTTAGGATAGTTTTTGTGCTTCCCCAGTTTTTATGAATATAAATATATATGTTTGGGGGTACCTCACCTAATTTTTTGGAAATTGACTAGTATTTGGTAGTTGTGACATGAGAGGTTGCTGTCATGAATTGCGGAAATGATTTTGTAAAACTCTGGAGTTGTTAAATCTGATATTGATTGCCCTGTTATTGATTTGGGCGCGTCCTTCAATTAGGGTATGATGCCTAAATGGCATAACAATGAATTTAACACAGATTTTTGTTAAATTTGGTTTGGTAGGTTGTAGACCAATTTTTCTCTTTAAAATTGAGTGCTAATATAAAATAAACATCTATTTTTCAGTTAATAATTAAATTATTTTTTATTAAAAATAGAAAATTTTAATTATGCATGTGCTCTGGTGATTTTAAAGTAGCATCAAAATGAAACTTGCTGATGGGCATCATATAATTAATCTGGTGATTTTAGCTAAATATTGCATTATTAAAGCCATCTTATTCCAATATTCATGAAAATTATGTTAAGTGTGAACCCCGCAACTCAATTATAAGTACACTCAGCTTTAAGTAATTTGCTGAAACTGATCTAGTTTTACCTCAACCCAAAGGTTGGACTTCACTGTAACAGAACATACCTATACACTCATTAAAATGGTTTTGATTTTACGAACCCGGTGCTCTGAACCACATTCATTTCAATGTAGACAATGTTTCTTACCACTTATTGGTGGACCACAAGAAGATTAAAATAAAAACAGCAGTGCTAACAATTAGCTAAACATTTGAATGACAGTGGAGAAGCTGCATGCTGAGTCTGAGGAGGACGGGGAGTCGAACTCATCGATAGAAGATTTTTTTGGGTCAACCATCGATAGCAGAGTGAAGACAACCATTAAGGATCATTTAACTTCTCGGAATTCAGGATCATTTAGCACATATCAAAGTAGTTTAAAAATTCAAATGTCAAAATAATATTATAATAACGCTACCATTAAGGGAGAAACAGATTTCTGGAATAAGTCTACCACAATAAGGTTGCCATTCACTACATGACATGCCATTATAATTAGCAAGTAATGACACCTCTTCGCAAAAGCCTTCATAGTTTTACCTCCATAATAGCAAAACAATTGTAATTATGTTGTTATTATCTTGGGCAATTGCTCAGTTCAATCATGTGCTATCAATTTGATGAAGTGGTTTACGAAAATTGAAACTCATCAATGCAAGATATAGATTTGGTAAAATGGATTGGGCCAGTTAGGTTGATATAATTAAGCCAACTACAGCATAGGGTTTAGGCACTAAATTTTAGTTCTAAATTAATTTCATGCGCTTTTTTTTTTTGTCTAATCCGTTTTTGGTTATACTAAATATTAGAATGCGATTTTAGCTTAAACTTTTTTCTTTTTTGGTCTGAAGTTTAGCTTAAACTTAGACAATTATTTTGTGGCTCGAACAAAAACTAGTTTTTTCATCTAAAAGGGCTTGAACTAAGCTAGCTTGAATTGGGTCGTCTGTTTTGTTACCTTACTTGAATGTCTAGGGTAGTTGATGAAATAATATCTTACCTGAACAATTTGTGATTAGTTATATGCTTGCAAAGTTTGAAGGTCATAAATTGTAACAATAGCAAATGTTACATTGTAAAACCATCTTAGGCCCAATTTGTGATAATTTTTATTTTTTTAAGTTTTAAACTTTTAAACTAAAACCAATTTTAACGTTTAGTTCTCAATCTTAGGTTTTTATGCTTTTCGAATTCTTTTTTTTTTTCAACTCTATAATATTCTTTCAAAACTTGCTTGCTAACACCAACATTTCTTCCACAAATCATGTTTTTTTATTAGTTATAAAATTAAAATTAACGTTAATAATAATAATAACTACTCCTACTAGAACAATACTAACATGACAACAAAATTTTCTTTTCTACTATTCATATATTTTTTAGTTCCTATTAAGCAAAAATTACACAATAGTAATAAAAATATAAAATAAAATCATTTCTTCTATAATTTTAGTTTTAAATAATAAAAAAATTACACGAGCAATAGTAATAATAATAATAACAATAATAATAATAATAATAAATTCCATAAATTTTTTTAGTTCCTATTAGTTGCATTCTATAATCTTTAACTAATGGATCTCAATATGCAGCCACTGGAGGAATAGTTGTAGTCATTGGTGATGATGCATATTCTTCTATAGTATATTGTTTCTATTTTATTCTTCAACTTCTAATTTAACATTTTCATCACCATAATGTGTAAACAATGGATCACCTTGCATGTCCATTCTAATGAAATTATGAACAACACAACATGCAAGAGGTATATATTTTTGCCATCTCAAGGTATATTATTGAAACATGGACTTTAGAACTCCAAAACATCTCTCAATCATATTACGTAAGGAATAATGCATACAATTGCATATCTCTTCTAGACATTGGAGTTCTTGTTCACCTCTATAATCACGCAAGTGATATCGTTTTCCACGACATGGAGAATAAAAGCCATATATGTATGTTAGTGTATTCAAAGTCCACTAGATGATATTTACCTTCAAGAGGCATAGGAAAATGATTTTCTGCATTGTGAATAGTTTCTAAAAAGAAAATTTATTTTGTTAGTTGTTCCCTCCCAACCAGTCATGACAAATGTGAACTTCATATAAAAAAAAAAAAAAACAACACATCCCATTTATAGTGGGTTCAAGTTTACTCCCATGATATACACTATGCTCATATTTGAAAATGCATGCCAAAATATAGTACCATCAATTCCTCGATAAATAAAAAATTATGAATGTCGTAATCAGGTGGTCGTAATGGTGCCGCAAAAACATGTTTGAAAAAAATATATTTTAGGAATAAAAAATGTTTCCTAAAAAAACTAGAAGAGTCACTAGGAAAGTTTATTTTAAGAAAACCTTTGAAAAACTTTTAAAATAATATGACCTTTGAAAAACTTTTAAAATAATATGACCTTTGAAACTAAAAATAAATTCGGGAGTCATTTATGTATAGGGAAGGTATTAGCACTCTACAAAGTCCGTTTAAAAATGGTTATATCAAATTAATTGTGTAAATTTATTTTTATTTTGAAAAATATTTATTTAACCCCAGAATAATAAATGTTGCTATCTTATTTAAAAAGAAAAAAAGAAGAAAATTTATTTATTGAAACATTGTTTGGTATCTTTGTAAAGAGAAAATTTATTTTTGAAAATTATTTTGATTTGACGAGTCCTGCTTCTACATATCCCGGGGTGTAATGAGAAACTCAAAGTCATATAGTTCTATCTAAAAATTATGAAGTTGGTTGATTAAAATTAAGTTTAGTAAGAGAAAGTTTATTTTGAAATTAAAATTATTTTCATAAAATTATAATATTTAGGATACAAGATAACGTGATTAAACATGTACCTTACGAAAAAAAATACAGAAGGTGAAGAAAGACCACACAACTATATTGCAAATCATTAAAAATATTTTATTTGTAAACGAAATATTTGAATTTGAATTTGAATTATGATTAATGTTGAAAGAAAATTTAAGATAGGGTAAATTATACATAAATCTCTTATAATTTATTGGACAATCAAAGGCAATGTAAATCACACATTGATATTGCAAAAATTTGTATAGTAAAATAAAGGAATAATTGGTTATTTAATTTATCAAAATTTGAAATATGACTTTTTTTTTTTTTTTTTTGCTATTAAATGAGGTTTAAAAACCCAAAACAAACAACAACTTAGGAGAGCAGCCTTGGCTGCAACACTCCAAGAGAGTCAAGATGTAAAAAAGGTTCTAAATGCTCAGGAGCCTCATAAAAAATATAACAATCTAACCCTATCTCAGAACCACTCTTAGCAAGCCAATCAACACATTGGTTTGCTTCTCTCAAGACATGCTGGACTCTAACAAACTTAATCCTACTAATCAAATTCCTTATTTTACTAAGAATAGAGAAATAAGGATGTCTACAGTCTTGAACATTTAAAATAAGAGAGATGGCTTCTTTGGAGTCACACTCAATCCATATAAGATGGATATTTTTGGATATCACAAGCTGGAGACCCCAAAAAATACCCCAAAGCTTAGCCAAAACAGGAGTATAAAAATCTAAAGACTTGTAAAAACTGTTTATAAATCTGCCTTTGCCATCACGAATTAGGCCTCCACAGCTAGCTAACCTCATAGATTGAGAAACAGCACCATCTACATTAAGCTTAAGCTGCTCATCAGGAGGAGGCTGCCACTTAACAAGACTATATCTACTCCAAATGCTAGAATTTTTTCTCTGATTATCCCTGTCACAGAAAATGAAATAATCAAAATCAAGCAGAATTTTATGAAGAAGAGCTACATCAGACAGATGGTTGTTTTGGAAAAGAACACAATTTCTATTCTTCCACAAGTTCCAAACAACAACACCAAAAAGTTTATTCCAAACAGTGTACAAAGGGAAGTTCAATTTAGATAAATTATAAGTCAGAAAATTAGAAAGATCAAGACTAAAAAAAAGGAGACCAATTATCAGGGGGAAGGATTTTTTTCCAAATAGCTGTCGCCGCCCAACAATCACAGAGAACATGAATAACAGATTCAGGAACTTCCTGATATCTGAAACAAATAGAAGAATCAGTCATATTACGATTAGCTCTTTCAACGTTAGTTAACAGCTTGCCATGAGCAATTTTTCATAAAAAAGTGGAAATGCTGGAAGGTCCCTCCCAATTCCAAACAGATTGGAGATTAAATTGTAAGTAGATTTTATAGAAAAGTGTCCATCATTAGAAAACTTCCAAAACATCATATCCTGACCACCAGATATAACAGACGGATTGATCTTAGCTATTTATCAACTCACAATACTGAGCAAGAAGACAATTTCTAATTTTAGACCAATCCCATTCTCCCTGAACAGCAAAAAGGGCAACTGGATCATTTAATTCATTATCAGGAATGTCTTTAATAGCATAATTTAATAGATTCTGATTAGGCAAAATCCAATTATCCTTCCAAAACTTGATAGTCAAACCATCACCTAAAATCTAATCTAATCCATTAAAAAAGCAGTCCCAGACCGACACCATGCTCTTCCACAGAGTGGAGGATTTTTGGTTAGATTCTTTAGTAGTAAGTATAAACTCTTGATAGTCAAACCTTGTGAATTTATACTTACTACTAAAGACTCTAACCCACAACTCACCAAGAGTATTAATAAACCTCCAACAAAGTTTCATAA